TATTGATGAGCAAGGGTGTGGGTGTAGATGTGTATCTTTTTTTAATCCGCTTCAACACTCACACTCACACCCACTTTGTGAACAAATAACAGACTTAGTTTGTTGCTTGAGAGACAGGTGAGAAGTAGGCACTTTTCATTTTCTGATGCCAGTTTTTTTTATCCAGTATCTTTGTCTGGTATAAAGTTCAGAATGTGTTCTATTTTCTTTCTATTCTTAGTCAAAACTGGAATTTATTTCACAATGGAAATTATCCAATTTAACATTTGACAATTTGTTGAAACCTGACGTGATTGATCAACAATTCTTATCCGCTTATGATTGGTTATTAAATCCAACAACAACAGATGACAATGAAATACCACAACCACCAACACCGTCTTTCGCATCTTTCTTCTATATAGTCGTTGCTGTATCACAATCACCATGTCCTTCCACAAGAAATCCGACTCGTTCAGATGCTGACTTGGTCAAGTTATTTCGTTCGATCAATAAACAACAGGTCGATTCGAACACACAAGAACAAGAAATCAATCAGTATGTTCAAGAGGTAAGTGTGTTGTGTTCTAACTCCAAATCACAACTGGAACCGGTGCGATATACCGGTATTGGACTGGCCGGACCAGAGCCGGTTTAAAAAGTCAACGGGGTCGGTTGAGATCGGTATTTCACCGGTTGAAACTTTTGAAAAATCTCCTTTTTCGATCCAATTTTTTTCTATAAAAATCAAGATTTCTTGCCTTTCTTGGTCAGAATAAATAAAGATATGCTCGAGACAAATATTATTTTTTTCATTTGTTTAAAGGTTCGACCTGATAGACTCGTTACGTTGGATGTCTCTTGAATATGCTCGCAAACCATTTTATTTTTGAGAAAATTTTTTTCTAAAACTCGATTCTCAAAAAATGTCGCTGGTTTTTCGCCAGTTTCCACGGATTTTTCATCGATTTTCACCTGCTTGAGGTGTGATTCCAATCGGCCGTCTTACCGGCCGAACTAGATCTGTTGCAGCTCTGTTCCAAATTTCACTACATCGACTCTAAGTTCTACAAGATGTCTTCGTTTGTTTTAGAAAAAGAATCCATCGGATAAATATTACATGCCAAATATCGTATTATCAGATTTGGAATCGTGTCTCGTTGCTCATGATTTAACAAAGCCGATGATTGATGAGTCTACTGTGAGACAAGGAACTCATATTTTGAATTCAATTATTCATCGTGATAAAGAAAAAGAAATTCAAACTCTTCATCCCATACCAAATTTTATAGTCAAATTAGAACATACACCAAGTGAGTTATTATAATAGTAGTTCAATTGAGAACATGTCTATTTATTTTGATATCTGTGTGCCGCTTAAAAGTCCTTTTCATTTTTCCTACGACGTCAAAAGAGAAAAATGACTTCTGGACACGGAAATTAGTGATTCGTGCCCAAAAAAAAAACATGTCAGCCACGTCTAAAATAAGCGAAAAATGCCATTTTCCTCTCTTTGTAGAAATGGCACGTTTATTATTTGACGTATTCCATGATGAAGATTGTATAAAAGAAGAAGTGTTTTGAAACTGGCTTCACAGTCCGAACCAAGAAGAAAGCAATGATGGCAATGCGATAATTGAATGAACACAACAATTTTTTGGTTGGTTATCACTAGGCGAACCTGTAGCCATTGCAAAAGAAGGTGATGATGGTAATATGATAAAAGTGAATAGATGACAATGTTGTAAAACTATTGTTCATTTTTTGTTGTTTCTTTTTTTTCGTTCTTCTATGTTTAATTGACTCTTCATTCATCTGTTGATCTGTGAAGATAATAAATACCGATTTACGTTTCTGTTTCTTACTTCTTAAAACATTAAGCGCGATGTGACCGATCGACGAACTACGGCAAAATAATTTGAATATCTCCACTCTGTTTTAATCAAATTGACTAATTTTCTGTTGATAATAGAGTAATTATAGTAATTTTGAATTAAATAGGGTGCGGTGTGGGTGTGGATGTGTTTGGTGATGTAGATAAGACCCATAGGAACTCACACCCACACCCCTTATTAGAACAGTTCTGCGGGAACTGTTGAAACTTATTACTGAAAAACATCCTAATATCATCCATCTATATTTCATCCGAAAATCCGTCTGTATGACTATTTTTTGAATAATTCGAGAATAAAAAGAGATATAAGTCTACGATTTTTGCATCATTGTATTGAGCTTGAAGTACTCTATCGATCTCCTAATAGAAGACGAAAAACATCGACTTTTCACATGATGTTCATTATTGATCTTTGAAAGAGGTGAACATGGTTATCTTAAATTTTGTAGTGACTCATTACTAAGATATCACACATTTTTCTGAAGTCGATGCTAGTGCTTTTTCTCTATAGAATGGACTGCCAATATGTATAGTAAAGTTCGTTGTTGATCATTGTTTGCATTATAGAAATGTTTTTTTTTGACCTCGAATGATGTTTATAATTGAAAGTGACGAGCTGCACTATACAGAAAGAGAATGGTTTTAAAATATGTGATTAAAATCAAAAAAAGAAAGATAAAGTGTGATTCTATCGTCAACATATTAGAGAGTATTATCAATCTATACAAAACAAACTTTTGATTCTTATATATTGTATTCGTTTAATTTACATCATCTTTGCTATGGTGTATTACTGTTATAAGACTTATTGATTTGTTTTCTTATCATCAGTTTGGTCGTCCAAGAGTTCTATCTAAAGAAGCAACACTTACAATAACCACAATGGTGAACTTATAAGCATATGTAGTGGCTAAGTGTAGTATTTAAAAGGATGATTTCAATACACCGAAAGGTTTCCAAGAATACCCATGGAATACAAGAAAGACGATGTAAACCAAATAAATACAATACATAAGAATCAAAAGTTTGTTTATATCAATTGATGGTACTCTCTAATAATACAATGTAAACAATGATCAACAACTGGCTTTACTACACATAGTGGCAGTCTATCCTATTAAGAACAAGCACTAGTATAGACTCTAGGAAAATGTGTAATATTCGTGAATCATAATAACTAGAGAGTTCAGCCTTTCACCATTTCCTAGAGGAGCCTCCAGGCTATCTTTTACATATTTAAAACGAATGAGTCACTATAAAATTTGAGATAACCATGTTCACGTCTTTCAAACATTAATAATGAACATTACATGAAAAGTCAATGTTTTTCATTTTCTATGAGGAGATCAATAGAATACTCTAAGCTCTACGCAATGGTAGCTATAGTAGTAACTCTAAATTTTGTCTATGTATGATAAAAATCTCAGGTTGTTTACTTTTATCGTTGGGAGATGCACAAGTGTTTGTAATCTAAGAACATGACATTTCGTAACGTTTACTCATGCTCGTGGACAAAATGAGCTTTGTCCTCAGAATGAATTTCATTTGAAAACAAACTTTTTTTACGATACCATTCATCGAAAACGTATTGCGTTTTCAAAATAAATAAATATATTGAATACTATTTCCTTCAATATGTCTGTTCATCCTTAGAACCGACCGATTTTCACTAGCCTCTTTCTCGATTGTTTGGGGCACTAAAGCTGATTTATTGTACTTGTTTTTAACGATTTCTATGGTTAAGATAACACTTTCTCATCGTAGAATAAGAGTGTTAGATCATGCTTAATGAATTCACTTGACTGACAAAAGTTAACTAGATATTAGAAATTGATCTCGGCCTGTGCTAAAAACTTTGGACCTCGAAATTTCGAGCTCACTTTACAGGACTAATTTTAATCAAAGCTCATAAAATTTCGATAGCCTATAGTTTTCATTTCATGTTTTCATTACAAAATATCAGAAAAAATTCCGTTCTATTGTCAAAAAACTTCCAACTACTAGCCTCATATAATGGTGAAACTATGTAGAAATAAAATCCGTACGTTTCAATTTACCTTATCGTTCTGTCCGCAAAAGTATGTTTTTACGAATTGAAATGTCTTTCAGCTGTTTTAAATATTTATTTCAAATAAGAATAGATCAAACTTATGAATTGCAAAAAAAATTATATCATTATCCAAAATAGAAGCCAACCAAAGTATTGCATAGATGTTATTCAATATTAATTGCTGTGAGTTACTAGATGAAACGTTGTGAAAGAAACCTTCGTTCGTTCTTAATGTTAACACATATGAAACGTGACAGACTAAAATACGAGTTGTTACTATTAGAAACTAAGAGTTATATGAGTTTTACATTGTGTGTCTGCGTAGGAATGAAGTCATAGACCATTTCTTGATTGGTTTATTGGTAGATTAAACGCAATAGTTTGTCGCTGATTAACTCAAGAATTTCAACCAGTCAGCCTATTTCGGTCGAAAACAAATACTACTGATTGCAAGTATGCAGCTGTTACTTTTTCATGTGGAATTTTCTTTAAATCATTTACTATGTTTCATATGACTCCATTTATATGATAATCGACAAGTTATTTAACTGTGATCCGTCGCGTGTATTAGAAAGTGTGCAGCATCTATAGAAAATACGAATAATACATATTCAAAATTATTTGTATTATTTCTTTGATTGAGCAACTACGCTTTTGTTGTTCCGTTATATATCCAAAGAAAGCACTAAAATGAAGCAAAAATGTCTTTTTTTTCTTTTTCGTATAAGCACAATATAACACATAAAGCAAACAAAATATAAATAAAAAGAACACTCTTTCTTGTTTTAATTAATTTTTTTTTCTATATTGCATAATGACAAATAACAGAAAAGAAAAAAGCGACTATAGCGCAAACGAGATTAAGAATAATGTATATAATTTTATAATCATTTAAACAGAGAAAAAAGACGAAATCATTTTATACAACAAAAAAAGAAAGAAGATCACAAGTGACACAAACGTGTTGCTGCTCAGCTGTTATTATTGATAATTATTAAGAATAAATAAGCAAGGACAAAAAAAGACTTAAAGAAAAAGAAATCACAAACAACCAGCAAAAAGAAAAGAAAACTGAATTTAACTTTCGTTGGACAATGTTGACTCGTGTGTATTTGATATACTACTAGGAGAAGAAGATGAAGAAGAATTTGATAACCATCGTGCCTTGTGATCATTGAGACCGAAACCAGCTGAATAATTTCCTTTTATAGCAAATAATTGAAGAAAATGGGGTTTACAATAAATTTGTCCATCATTAGCCGTATAATTTCCAAGTCTAAAAACAAAAACAAAACCATCATTGATTACAAATACTTTTCAACAAAAAAAAAAGAAACTATTCAAAGCATTCGAAAACAAAATGACATGCTCTGTAATCACACGGTAGAGGGAGGGAAGGGATACAAAGAAAAAAACACCCGCCTACGATTGATTGTTGAAAAATTGAATATGATTATTAGTATTATTATTATGATTTTCCTCTAAAACAATATAGAAAAATGTAGATTGTTCTATTTCAATACTCACTTTAATATCGATTTGCAATGCATACATTTAAAACATGATTTATGATAAATTTTTTTGTCTGCTTCAATCTTAAGAAGCAAAAAAAAATGCATTCAAATAATTAACAAGAAAAAAATATTTCAATACTTTTTCCATTGCATAAACTGTTTTATTGCATACAGAACATTTATTTGGATCAACAGCTGATTCATTATTGGTCTGTTTAGGTGCAGGTGTATCCTAAAAGATTTTTGGTTTTTTTTTAAATTATTTTTCATATTTGAAAGAAAAATAAAAACATACAACAAATCGTTTTGGTGTATATTTTATTTTAGATGAAGCTGTTTCAACTTTAAGTGCATCTTTTTCAAATTCAGTAAAGCGATTTTTTAATGATTGAGCTTGACCTTTAGTAGGTACAAATTCTTCATTATCATTATATTGTTCTATTAGACCACTTGAACTATTTCCTGTATCCGTTGGTGATACTGATCTCCTAATAAGCATTCCAATAGAAATTCTATTTTTATTTATTGAAAATTTTCCTACCTTTGAACACCTTCTGGTGGTGGTGTGATTTGTTTTAATGTTTTTCTTGTGTTAGCTGTATTATTTTGTTCAGCACTTTGCATAAGTCTTCAAAAAATAAAATATAATAATAATTATTTTTCTTTATTATTATTACTTAGGACAATCCAAAAGTTCTGTCGTCATTATCTTTTTTTTCTTATAGAAAGCTTGAAAAAATTTTCTTTTTTTATGAGCAGATAGAACGTCTTTCATTCTATGTTTCTATGCTATTTGATCATTATTCAACTAATATCATAATAATAAAATTTCGATAAGAACTGTTTTTATTGAAAACTAGCTCGTGGCATTAAATCTTAATGTGTCGGGCACTTTTGCATTTCATTTTATTATCACTTAATACGTTGTATTAAAAAAAAACAAAATATACCACAAGATGCAGCGTGAAAAGCTCTACAATTTACATAAGATCACTTATTTTATAGTTGCATTTTTTGTTTTCAAAATGGACAAAACTCTGAGCGTGCAAATTACGACGCTCCGCAAACGAAATTTTTTTGTTTGGTAAAAAAACGACTTTGTTTTTTCTTATCTCATCTTTTTATTACCTAATATGTTTTATTAAAAAAACAAAATACACTATAAGATGCAGCGTGAAAAGCTCTATAACTACCAAAGAACAATTATGAAAAGATGAGATAGGAAAAAACGAAGTCATCTTTTATCAAAAAAAAAATTTCTTTTGCGCAGCGTCGAAACTTGCACGCTCAGAGTTTTGTCCATTTTGAAAACAAAAAATGCAACTATAAAATAAATGATCTTGTGCAATTTGTAGAGCTTTTCACGCTGCATCTTGTGGTATATTTTGCTTTTTAATACAACGTATTAAGTGATGATAAAATGAAATACAAAAGTGCCCCATTTTTTATGCCACACCCGTTATGATCTAATATACCACCAGCTAGCTTTCAACAAAAACAGTTCTTATCAAAATTTTATTATTATGATATTAGTTGAATAATGGTCAAATGGCATAGAAACATAGAACGAAAGACGTTCTATCTGTTCATAAAAAAAGAAAATTTTTTTAAGCTTTCTATAAGAAAATAAGATAATGACGCCAGAACTTTTGAATAACCCTAAGTATTATTCTGTCACATATCAAATAGAAAAGAAAAAAAATAAAGCTAAGCAAAGGAATCAAGTATAGAGATACGAGCAGCCACCTACTCATCATTATTAGTATTCTTATTCCATAAGTCATTAATAATAGAAACAAGGCTATCGACACCATGACACTCTTCGTCACTATATAATGACATGCAATTGTAGTTTAAAAAAAAGACTATAAGGATGCAAACATACACAAAAATAAACTAAATAATATACCTTTCTCGAACAGCCTTGGCATGACCTGATTCAATATTAGCTTTATCATCTGCATAGCCTGGTTTCCGAAAAGTTGTTTCATCCTGCATGTAAAAAAAAAATACAGCAACTATTGAATAATATTTAATATTACATCTTCAGGAGGCGGTAAACGTCGTTCGTTGTCAGGTGGTGGTGTAATTGCACGTGGTCCACGTCTTTCAGGAGGTGGTGTGTTCTCTTTATCCATTGTTTTCCACATTTCAACAAGATCCTTTGCTTTACCTATGATTTAAAATATATGTTGAAAATTGTTTTTTTCTCTGTCTTCTGGTAGGCGTATACAAAAGATAAAATAATAATAATAACTTTATCTGATTACATACCTTGTTGAAGTATTTCAGCGTCCCGTATAACTTGAGCGTCAGGTGTATCTCGTTCTGGTGAAGTTTGTTTTGTTTTCCACTGTTCGACAAGTTGTTTTGTTTGACCCTTTTCAAAATAGATTTCTTCACGTTTATCACTTTCACGTACAACGTTCCCGTTCTCCTATATATATATATATATATAAATATATAGAAAAATGGCATATAAAATTAAAGAGAATAGAGAAAAAAAAAGATTCCGACAGAGAGAGAAAGAGAAAGAAAGTGAATCAAACACACCATACTACTGTTTAGTAACAACACGTTTTGATAGTAAAGAAGAGAATGAGAAAGAAAGGAAAAACACAATCAATCCAAATGTATGTTAGTAAAAGCATAGAAAATGGAATCAATAGAGATAAATATTTTTTATTAAATGAATAACAGCGATCGACTACTCACAGTTTTCATGTATTTGCTTTTGTGACTTCTGAATGACATCCGTGCTTCTTTTTCTCTTCCGATATGTGGATGTATGTATGCGTGTGTGTGTGTGTGTATGTGCTCAATGAAATGTCTCCTCTCAGTGGTAGTCAGTCATTGCATTTCTTCCTTTTAAACGACAGAGAACGGACAACTAATTCTTTGCACTCAATCGTTTTTTGCTCTACTTCGATAAAGAGAAGAAAAAGAAAAAAAGGATAGAGAATGGATATATGAATGGACACATGCATTCGCCTGCTGACGATCGAAGGTTACTCACGTTTTTTCGTTTTCTCTTATGCAACTATGCTCTCTTCTTCTATCTATCTAGTTCAATGATCGAATACAATATGTATAGCGCATATCAATCACTCTATCGCTCTGTAAGTTGACTTTACCAATAAAACAATCCGTCTATCATATATGTATATATATATATGAGTCGCATGGACGAATAATATCTATAGCTTTTTTTCTCCGCTATGATTTTTGCTCTTTTTATTTGAATACAAAAAAAAGGCAACTTATGTGTAAAATACATATCATTTATCCCAATGAACAAATAAGCAAACCTCTTCGAATGTTTAACTTGTCAATAAAAGATACTATTTACATGGCAGACAAACAAATAGTCGTTATTAGAGAAAGACAATAAACTAATATAAACTCATAAAACAGATTCCAATAATTATGTTATTGTTTTTGTTATCTGACACTATTTATTATGTACCACTATGCACAGATATATATATATAAACACAAGCACACAAACGTTTTCTCCCATAAAAATATTGAGAATTAATGCGTTTTGTGCACAATATTATGACAGAATATTAGTGTATTAATAAAAGCAAGAAATTAGTTTTTTTTTTTTATTTGAGATCAGTGTTAATATTTTTACAGCAGTGCATTGAGAGAAAGAGGACAAAGAAAAGTGCATTTGAAGATAAAAAAAATAATATGAAAATAAGATAAAAATAGAAAAATGATTAAAGATTAAGCATTGATCTACTGTTAGCAGTATACCAGACACACACAAATACATAACAAATGCACACATTTGAAGATAATAACACGCATATGAATGGGTGTTCACACATGTTCAAAAAATGAATTATGTGAATAAAAAATATATAAAATGAAAAAAATAAAATAAATATATGAATTTGGGAAATATACACAATCAGTGTACCTCACCGGAGCTAGTGGAAACACCGCTTTTGTCCGTATCCGTTGATTTTATCTTCAATCTTACACTCATGTTGACAAGCGTGTCAGAAAATTCGACACGCTAAAAAGAAACAAGAGAGGAAATTGTCATATATATGTGTGTGTCTGTATATACACGCAAATTAATTCTTATTATCTAGATGTTTCTTTTTTTTTTGTTTTAGCAAGCAATCCCATCTATGTTAGTAATTTTTTGTTTTTGTTTGAAAAATTAATAAGAAACAAAAAAATCCCACTAATCAAAAATCAAAAACCTACGATTGGTTGAGTTTTTCTTCTCAAAATCGAACCATTTAAAGGTTGGCACACATTTACGTGCCATCGAAAATCCTTTTATATTTTATGAAAAAAGAAAACACATATTTTCTCAATTTAGATAAGTCAAAATAAAAATTATTTATAAAAGTAAAAAAGATAAAACTTACATCAACACGTATTTTTGAATCACCACTAGCACCTGTTGTTGTTTGTGCACCACTTTCTAAATTTTTAAACATAGCTACACGTTCTTTAGCTACACCACGTTCAAGAAGTTCATTATCAATTTCTACTGTTCGTTTGATCTATTAAAAAAAATTAGAATTAAATATTTTTCTTAATTTTTATCTAATTATAATTATTTACTGTAGTAGTGTCATCGGGATTTTCAAATGCTGTAGCACGACTTTTAGCCAAACCACTTTCAACAGAAATAGATTGAACTGTTGGTTTTACTGATTTACTTGTATCAGCCATATACTGTTCTTTAATTGTACTTGCTAAACCAGTTGTTACATCAATATGTTTTTCTGTTGGTTTAAATTCAGTACTGGCTAATGATGCTAATTGTTCACGTCGTGCTATTGCTAATCCACTATCTGATTCAATATCAATATGTCGATCACCTGAACGTTGTACTTGTTGTTCAGCTTCAAATTTTGATAATAATTCTGAACGTTTTGATTGTGCATGACCTGTTTCAACAATAGTTGACATTTCATCGAGACGTGTTGGTGTTATTGGACGATCAGATAATTGACCACTTTCAAATTTAGCTTTCCTTTCAGTTGCTGCACCAACAAGAAGATCAGCATCAGCTTGTACACGATTTGAACCAAATTCATGATAATCTTGATCGAATTCACCTTTTTCAAATATAGCTTTTTTTTCTGTTGCAGCACCAGCCATTGAATCACGATCAATAATAACTGTTTTTGGTAAATTTGTATCATTCTCAAGTTGATGTTGTTCATATGCTTGTTTTTTTGATGATGCTAAACCAGCAACAAGATCTGTATCGATTTGTACTTTACTAACATGTGATTCAACTTCTTGTTCGAATTCACCTTGTTCAAATGCTTGTTTTTTTGATGATGCTAAACCACTTTGTACACGAACATCTAAACGTTTTTCTCCACGTGGTTTATCACTATCAATTAAACCTTTTTCAAATTTATCTTTAACTTCTGCCATTTCATGGTATGGAACCTAAACAATAATAATAATAATATTCAAAGAAAATATTAAATATAAATAATATTATTTTCATACATGTTCTTTTGGTGGTTTCTTTTTTCGTGTTGATCGAACAATGCCATCAGATTCTGACGGTTGAGTATCATCTTCATCTTCATCTTCTTCTTCATTTTGAAGACCGTTTGAAGAACCAATATCTTCAAACCTATTTAATGAGATTTGATTATTTTTATTAAATAAAATAGTATTAATAATTATTTTGAAAAGTACAATACTTGTCATCAAAACAAACATGATGACAAGATTCGTATAGATTTTCCATATGTATTCATCAGATTCAGTATATTTCACAATAATTATATTTAGTATTTCTACTATAGGAGAATTTTGAAAATAATATGTAATCATAAAATAAGTAATCATTGTAGCTGTCATCATTAGTAGTAGACATCTGTTCATATTGCTTGTTTTTCTCATTAAATCTTTTTCAAAAACATATGTGAAAAAAAAACAATAATCATGAATTGAAAGTATTACTATTATTGAAGTTTTCTCTTTCGTTCTCTTCAATACACACCTCCACTTTCACTTGCTTTTTGTCGAGATGTTTTTGGCATTTTCTACTCAAGTATTCTTTCGCTTCTTATAATAACAAAAAAGACAAAAAGGAAAATACGTCATCTGTCTCTATTTGACATTTTAATGTAAAAAAAAAAATATGTATATCGCAAGTTGTATTAAGATTAATGTTTCGTCAATAGTTAAAAAAGCTACTTACACTCTCATTGATGAATCCATTTAAAATGCTAGATTTGTTGAAAATCTACTGCTGTTCTCCTTCGTCAGTATTTAGTGATGTGGAACGATAAAATGCTCGTTCCTTTTTTTTACTTGTGTAATTCAGCGAAATGGATGATTGCTTACCTAATTTCTCCCATTTGTTATTTTTTTTTTCTTTTTTTAGGTATCTATTTTTTATCTTTCTTCTTTTCTCTCTGTAACCTCAAATACATACTCAAAACGTGTACGACATTATTATAAAATCGATCATTCAGATGATTTCCTTTTCTCATTAATCTAACTAATCAAGCAAAATAAAAAACAAATAATAATTACTTTAGAAATGTATTTTTGATTTTGTCACTTGGTGCTACTTTTTCAACTTTTTGTAATTTTTGTCCTTCATCATCTTCATTTTTTTTACTACCAAACATTTTTGTTATATTACGTAGACGTTCCAATGTATCATCAGAGCCACCACTGGTATCGATTGCTGTCAATAGAAAGAGAAAAAAAAACAAGATCCAGATGATATACTCAAGTAAAAGATCTGTAAAGATAAATTCTATTTAATTGAAGTAATATAGGAAAATTTCTTGTTTTTTTTTCTTTTTGTCAATACAGAAATACTAATTTAAAGAAATCTTATAATTTGTTATGTTTTCGATGAACAAAAAAAACATAAAGTCAAGTACGCAAAAGAAAGAAAAAAAACTTCTTTGAACAATCAATACATACACGAATCTTCATTTGCATCTGCCATTGTTCACTTGATTCGATGAAGTAGGTGCTCAATTCTAGCACACTTAACTACTTGTTTTATTTTTTCGTCTTTCTCTTTTATTTGCACCTACACCCGTACTTTGAATAAAATGTTTATTAATAAAGGAAGCTACTAGAAATAATACAAATATCTTCTGCTTCGTTCTTTAACGACAATACTAGTGAGAACTATACATATGTGTTATCCCAGATATTTATCTGCTGTTCGCCCTCGCTTTTCTCTATCTTTTTCTATTGCTGCATTTTTTTTTCCTCGTTCGACACCATCCTACGTAAAACATATACATAAAAATACAAAAAAGAAATGTGCCCGCTGCGCAAATTGTACAGATAAACAACGAGTACCATCAGAAATTGTTGGATATACTAAAGAGAAGAGAAAAAAAACAGAACATAGCGGAAATGTAAGATGCTGTAGTGATTATTTCTTCGTTCTTTTCCTATGAGATCATTCCGACGTAGAAACTATACAAGAAAAAAAAAACAGAGGTCATCAACAAAGTGTACATAAATATACAGGCATGCACATAAATTAATTGGATGAGTCGTTTTCCTATCTGTGAAATATCTGTCAGAAGAAAGCAAAGAAAAAAATCTACGATGTCATAATACAATGACGAAGAGCAAAAATCTATTTTTGTTTTATTTTATGCTTAGAACAGTTGTCAACTGATGTAGAATTTTCTAGTATGATCAATTATAGAACTGACACAGATACCCACATTAGAAAATTTAGACTGCTTTACACAACTGCGTAGATAAACATAGACTCTATCAACTAACAACAGGGTAAATATATATATATAGATATAGATATAGATGTAAGTCTTTTTGTTTCCGGATTTAACTAATTTTATATTCAATATAAAATCAATCGAATAGGCTTCTGTATATATTTAAAAGCTCATCGTTATTCTCTAATTTGTTTATTTAAATCATTGAATTATAATATTATGAAGCCATGAAAAATTTTAAGAACTATACATAACTATTGGTGTATTGTGTTTATTTCACGAAATATTCTTTCTTATTTGTGTATGTGTATATATACATAAACGATCAACAAATCTTATTGATCACATTTCATGTCGATAATTTTATCTATTAAATCAATAATTAATAAATGTACGTTCGTATGTATGACCTTTACTTACGAATAGATCTATTATGTTAAATTTTATTTTAACCGAGTTAATCCCAATGATCAATGAATTTGATATTAATCGAACTTACTTCCGTTTATTGTTGACCAATTTATAGAACAAATCTCTTTATGACGTCGTTTTTTATTTATATGTTGTTGATCACGATATAGTGAATATGTTTGTGAAATAGAATTTTCATCCATTGATGTATTTTGTTCATCAATATCACTCAATGTTGAAAGATCATCATTAGTTGTTGTATCACCATCACAATGTTCATTAGCACTTATTGATAATGATGATGATGTACTATGTTTATGTTTTTGTTGTTGACGAATTATTGATATAGCTGCTCGACGTTCTTCTTCACTAGCAGCTTCAGATATTGGATCAAGAAAATGATAAGATGTATATACTTGTTGCTGCTCTTGTAATGATAATGATGATGATGATGATGATGATGGTGATGATGATGATGAAATAACGAAATTTGGTGATGTTACATGAGGTAAAGGATATATATGTTGACGAAAATCCTCATTTTCATCATCATTATCATCGTCTATATCATTTAATTCATTAGATAATCGACATAAAATACCATCATCTGGATCAGAAAAAAGTAAATTAACTTCATCTTGATCAATATGAATTTCATCAAGATCATCATCAATATCATCATCATTATCATCATTTGAAAATGATAAAGTATTAAGAAGACCATGTGATGTTAATTTATGAACAATAGTTTTTGTTGAATTTAATTGACGTTGTTGTTGATCAATACTGATTGAATCGATTAAAGATGATGACGACGATGATGATGATGATAAAAATGATTCATCATCATCAATATTATCTGGTATTATATGTTGTTTAAATAGTCTTTGTTCTAAACTATCTGGTGAAAGACTACGTTCACGTTGCTGTTGTTGTTGTTCTATAGGTATCATCTCTTCACCAAGAACGGTAGCACTACCACCATTATAAGGCAACATGTGGCCAGATGGTGATGTGAACTGTAGAAATTTGAACATCAATCAACAGCAGAATCAACTGTGATGATATTGTAGAATGTGTTAAAAATAAAATACCAACTTTTGATTCTCTTATTCGTTTATGTTCGTAATCGTTTTGTAAATGAATGTGAGAAAAGGAAAAGTGAAAAATGAATGAACAAACAGCTAGTGGTTGGTCGGAGTTGATGATGAACAATGGAATACAGAAGACAAGAAATAACGTTACTTCATTTCTTCTCCTTTTTCTTATCGATTCGTCTCTGTTCTCCTCCTTCTTTTTTTTGTAATCGCAGCAACGTTCGACCGAGCATACACACACACACACATACAAACACAAGCAGTTCTTCACCGCAGGCTTTATCGATAAATTCGCTTTCACTTCTTTTCTCTTTCACAACGACACAAGTAGTATATGTACAGATTGATATAGACATGAAATGTGCAAAAAAAAGTCCGTTGAACAAGAGAGCTTTTCGCATCAGTGTTGCCTGAAGATAATAAACAAAAATCGTTAGAGACTTTTCTTCTTCATTTTGTTTGTAAAGTACACAATGAACAGATTATCGTTTTCAATTTTCATACAAGGTCTCGACGGTTTTCTTTTTCCTTAACATAAAATATCGATTATATTGTCATTGACGTCTCATAGTTAAATAAACAAAGAATAGTATATATCATGAAATCAATCTGGACGAGTTGTGAGAATGAACATCAAGTGCTTAGCTTCGAAAAAAAACGTCATTCATCCAATTTGTAAAATACACAGAACGAACGTTTACCTATACGATTTGTATTATATCCCACTATATATATATGTCTGTCTGTTGATTCTATTGAAACGATGCTTTAGGACATGTTTTGCTTTTTATAAAAAAAATTCTATTTTTATAAACTAGATTTTAAACTTACCTTGTTGATTATTTCTCTCGTTATGATTATTATGATTATTATTATTATTATTATGAGTTCGGAAAATTAATATTGTATGCATAATACAAAAATGAATAAATGCAGCAGAAAACCATTCATGTATAAGAGTCCAAAGAAGACGCCAGGCATTATTCGAATGATTATTGACCATGGTTGTCGTTGTTTTATCATATAGTAGACTAAAATAAAACAAAAGAAGAAAATGATCGTTCAATGTTATTGACTAAAGTGATTATTCGGTCACTGAACTTTTGTCTCTTTTGATCGGTCCAGCAGTATTAATTATATGATAGTATGTACAAACAAAATTTATGAAATATGCATAAGAAATTATATTAAACATTGACATAAATATGTTACAGATCAATTAATTTTTACAATCTTGTATGAAATGAAAAATAATATTTTTATGAACTAACTTTATAAATAAATTAATTTTTCGATCAAATTTCAATGAATAATGAAACTATTCGGTAATTAATTCAAACTATTTTGTTTTTGAAATTAGAAAAGTCATGTATTATTTGACCATATATATAGAAATGACAAGAGATTTTGTTGACAGATATTCTTGTTCTTTTCAGATTTAAATATGAAAAATAATCTTCTTATCACATAACACCTTTAAATAGATTATTATGAATTTTAATATTAGAGATTTATTTAAATCTTTTGTTTTTTTTTTGTCTACTGTCGGTCATTGTCAAATCAAAAGACATGAAAATTAATTGAATTTGTCCAAGTTGATGAGATGTTTTTCTTGGTGTTGTTGTTCATTAGTAAGAAAAACAATCGATAGAAATTTTGAGTCACTAAAAAATGTCAAAGACAAATTGAAGAAACCTAAAAAGTATGTTTTTTTTAAAATTATGATATTGACATTCTGTTATTTGAATGCATTTCAAGCTTCATTATTCCACGTAATTGCTTATTGATGCTCTTTATATGAAGAAAGACATAAGCTTAAGTAAATATTGAAGTCAAAGAATAACTTTTTTCTAAAGTTTCCAACAAAATATGATAAGCCATGTATTGGCATGCTTTATTTATACACATTGATTTGTCTCGATTATTAAAATTTGCTACAAAATAGGCTTTTTATTATTAACAAATTTTTTTTTCAATTTTACAGAAGTGTTTCTACATGACAGAAAAATCAATGTTGTAAATTGACATCGACATAAAATATATCTCAAATGTGAATTTTTATCAACTTCATATTATTGCATAATTTTGACTGTAAAATATGCGATTCGTTTTTTTTACCTTAAATTTAATAGAAATGCTAATTGGAAGAGTTTTAAATTATACTCTAGCATCAGTTATGATAAAAGATGAATGATATGTATCGCGTCTCAAACCTTGCTACTGCTGCAGCGACTACATTTAAACAAATGTGTGAAATTTCATTACGTTGACTGTAATCAACCAGAACTGTTATTATTAATTCATGAAATTCATTGAGTTTTAGAGTGTTACATTTGTGAATGTTAGAATTCCGTGCGAATTCATGCGATTTTACGATGTCCTTCAAACAGAAGCTGCCGTCACCTTTACGGTGATAGTAACGATAGTGTCGTAATGGACATCTCTGTTAAATTTATCTCTCCTTAATTGAAATCAATATCGAATTCTATTAGAACTTCTATAATGATTTATCTCTCGATTATAATTCTAGACTTTCTATCTTTTGTTGTAGATTTATTCAACTAAAAATTCATTAATGGATATGAATTGATCTATTAAAAGAGATTGAATATATATATGCTTCAGAGATACAATAAGATACTTGCGAGAATAATATATGCTCCTGGGAAAATGATTAACATTAATATTCTTTGAAAAGTAATTATGTATTCTGGTAGCGCGCAGAGTTCTCTATAACTTTATCTCTCTCTATGTATATTAAGTTATGAATTGCACTTGTACGCTAAAATAGAAATTCAGATATAATCAAGGCATCCTACTCATTAGATTTTTCGGAAAATGCATTTTTCGTTCCTTGATCATTCATTTTTTTCAAATTTATTTTAATGTAGAAACAAGCTAACTACTTGATGATAAATATTTAGAATATTATTGATGGACTCTTACTCTCGCTGAGGAATGTGATACGTTCGTACATTAACAATATTCGAAATTCTAGTCATCAATTAAGTAAAACTACAGAACGATAGTAAATTTCAAACGCTCTCAGAATACACACTTGTGTTTGCAATACCTTGTGCCTACATTAAAACAAATTTGAAAAAAGAGCAAAAGATGCAATTCCCGAAAATCTGACGATGTAGGTGCCTTCACTGTAGTTAAATTTCTATTTTAGCGAATAATTGCAATTTAAAACGTACATATATAGAGTTGCAGAGAATTTCGCGTGCTATCAGGATACATAATTATTTTTTTAAGCATATTAATTTATACTGATGAGGTATGAAAAAAATTAAGTGAAAGTATTTTTTTCCAGAATGCAATAACAACTACTTTGAATTATGATTTTGATATTATATGAAACGCCGACAATAACAATCGAACTTAGGAACTCTGATATCACTTATATTGCTAAAGACTTGTATTCGTCAAAGTGGATTCTTAGAACAATATGATATGAATGAAATAATAAAATGAAATGCAAGTTCTTCGATTCAATTTTGAACAGCTCGTTGAATGACAATCGCATGCGAATTATTATTCGATATCGTTCGATAAACACATGAATCTATAGTAATATAAAAAAAGGCAAAGAAAAATTCGTTTCAAATAGTTTGATTCATCTATAATGTGGATGAATGGCAATTTATTATACTCCTCATTTGATTTTCTCGATTATTAGAAAGAATAACTGGAGAAAAAATTAAGATACAAGTATGAAATAATGATAAACGGCAAAGAATATACTGTACAACAATTATTCATAGAAACTAGACAAATTTTATTGTAAATTTTATAAAGAAGAGTCAGCAATAAATTCATCAGCTGATGGTCTATGTACCAGACTCAATAGCCTCCAGATGTAAATCAAGATGGATTGATACATATTCACACATACTAAAAAAAGTATGCAAGCAATGAAGACATCAGTTGATGAAAACATCGACTAATTGTTGATAACGTCAATAGATATAGACTACTAGTAGTCTATGTCTTTACATATATTTGGTAGATATTTTTCGAAGCAAATTATTAAAAACAATAAATTAAGGAAACTTCTGCGACGAGGCTCATCCATTTCTAATCATCTGTCGCCTAGGCCACTAGTCTCTTGTGATACTCTGAGAACAAGTGCAACTCTAAAGATCATGAATCAACTATTTCAAATGTTTCCTGAAACTATCATTTGTATTGTACTCTCATTTATCTTCTTTCTGTTTGCGATGAGACCCATTACTTGTATACTGCTTCCTTGAGTCTTCGATGAATGATGACAATTATTCTCAATATCTCGTTTAGTGTCCTTGTTATCTGAGTATGAGTTCTATCTCTTCTAGTGCATTCTGGTCCTGCTCATCAGCCGTATATATATATATACACGTATATGTAGATTGTTTCAAAGTTTCAAAAACTTAAGTTTCTTTCCACACTAAACTAGCTGTCGAAGAATGAGTCAATTTCGTTCACTTTTATCTTGATTTTGTGTTGACAGAAATAATAATGAGAAGTATATGTAATCAAATAACCAAATATTCTTATGAACAGTGACTTTAAAAGAAACTTTAGAACAACTCATATATAACTATTGTTTCAACTTTAAAATTATCAGCCAAGATTGCATTCAACAGATTCATTTGTAAAATTAGTAGTCTCCTACGTCTTTCATCAAACTCATACAATATGTCAACACTTAGTACTTAATTTTAGTTAGATCTTTCAAGAGATATCCTGGCATCAAGGATATGTCAGATTGAAATAAAAAATGAAAAATTGTATAGAATTAGATCAATTTTTTTTACATTTACATAGCAACAACTTACGTGTTTATGTGTTAAGTATCACATAAAAATATATGATTTTCAATTTCATAAATTTTTTTTTCATGATAAAAAAACACATCA